CTCCCCAGTAAAGATCCAATAAACCAGCGACTCCCAGTGCTCCCAGTTTATTATTCCCAGTGCTCCCAGTGTCCTTCCAGTGCCCTCCCAGTGCTCCCAGTTTATTATTCCCAGTGCCCTCCCAGTGCTCCCAGTGCTCCCAGTGCCCTCCCAGTGCCCCCAGTGCTCCCAGTTTGAGATTCCCAGTGCTCCCAGTGCTCCCAGTGCCCCCAGTGCCCTCCCAGTGCTCCCAGTTTGTGATTCCCAGTGCTCCCAGTGCTCCCAGTGCCCTCCCAGTGCCCCAGTGCCCCCCCAGTGCCCTCCCAGTGCTACCAGTTTGTTATTCCCAATATCCCCAGTGCTCCCCCAGTGCCCTCCCAGTGCTCCCAGTTTATTATTCCCAGTGCCCCCAGTGCCCTCCCAGTGCCCTCCCAGTTTGTGATTCCCAGTGCTCCCAGTGCTCCCAGTGCCCTCCCAGTGCTCCCAGTACCTCCCAGTGCCCTCCCAGTTTGTGATTCCCAGTGCTCCCAGTGCCCCCAGTGCCCTCCCAGTGCCCTCCCAGTTTGTGATTCCCAGTACTCCCAGTGCCCCCAGTGATCCCCCCAGTGCTCCCAGTGCTCCCAGTTTGTTATTCCCAGTGCTCCCAGTGTTCCCAGTGCTCCCAGTGCCCTCCCAGTGCTCCCAGTTGGTGACTCCCAGTGCTCCCAGTGCCCTCCCAGTGCTCCCAGTGCCCCCCCAGTGCCCTCCCAGTGCCCCCCAGTGCTCCCAGTGCGGGGCCAGGGCTGGGCAGGTGCTGCCCATGGGGTGAACTGGTGCAAACTGGAACAAACTGGTGCCAACTGGTGACTCTCCCTTCCCCACTGGCGCCTTACTGGTGCCTTACTGGTGCAAACTGGTGTGTACTGGGGCCCTGCTGGTGGCCGTACTGGTTCAAACTGGCTCATACCGGTGCCCTTATTGGTCCTACTGGTCCAAACTGGCCCATACTGGTTCAAACTGGCGCATACTGGTGCCAGCTGGCCCATACTGGTGCCGTTACTGGTCCAAACTGGTGCCCTTACTGGTCCAAACTGGCCCATACTGGTGCCCTTACTGGTCCGTAGTGGTCCCAACTGGCCCATACTGGTCCAAACTGGCCCACACTGGTCCAAACTGGCCCATACTGGTGCCCGTACTGGTCCAAACGGGTCCAAACTGGTCCCAACTGGTCGGAAGCGCCGCCGCTCCTCCCGGCCGCCAGGGGGCGCTCCCTCATCCACCCCCAGGCGGCCCCTCCGGCCGCCGCTCTCGGTGGTTCCGCTTCCGGTTCCACTTCCGGGTCCGGCTCCGAGGAAGCGGCACGCGGGGCTTGGGGTCCTGGAGGGGATTTTGGGGTCCTGGGGAGGGATTTTGGGGGTCCTGGGGAGTAGGAGTCTTTGGGGGTCTTGGGGAGGGGTCCTTGAGGGTCCTGGGGTCTTGGGGAAAAAGGGGCCTTTTGGGGGCCTTGGGGTCCTGGGGAAGGGGACTTTTGGGGTCCCCCGGTGGGGAGGGGCCTTTGAGGGGTCCCGTGGGGAGGGATTTTTGGGAGTCCTGGGTGGGGAGGGATTTTGGGAGGTCCTGGGGGAAAAGAGGCCTTTGGGGGGTCCTGTGGGGTCTCTGGGGAAAAGGGGCCTTTGGGGGGACTTTGGGAGTCCCTGGATGGGGAGGGGCTTTTGAGGGGTCCTGGGTGGGGAGGGGCCTTGGGTGGTCCCGGAGGGGGATGGGATTTTGGGGGTCCTGGGTGGGGAAGGGCTTTTAGGGGTCCCATGGCTGGGGGGTCCTTTCGGGGGTCCGGGGGTCCTGGGAGGGGTTTGGGGGTCCGAGGGGTCCCCATGACTGGGGGGTCCTTTGGGGGTTCCTGAAGGGTCCTGATGGAGGGGGAGGGGATGGGGAAGGGATAATTTTGGGGGTTCCTAATGACTGGGGGTCCCTGAAGGGTCCTGATGGCGGGGGGAGGGGAGGGGAGGGATAATTTTGGGGGTCCTGAAGGATCCCGGATGGGGGAGGGGATAATTTTGGGGGGTCCTGATGTGGGGGAGGGGAGGGGAGGATAATTTGGGGGGTCCCTTTGGGGGTCCTGAAGGGTCCCTTTGGGGGAGGGGAGGATAATTTGGGGGTCCCTGAAGGGTCCTTTGGGGAGGGGAAGGGATAATGTTGGGGGTGTGGGGAGGGGCGTGGGGTTTCCCTTTATTTCCACCCCTCCCCCACTCTCACCAACCCTCCTCCTCCCCCAGGACCCTCCATGGACCCCCGGAGCCTCCATTGGGGAGGGGCCCTCTGTCGTGCCCCTCCCTCCCCCTGCCGGGCCGTGGGCGGTGCCCTGGGTGGGGAGGGGCGTGGGGAGGGGTCGGGGTCTCCCCGGTGCTGGGGGATGGGCGGCGCCCCTGCTGCTGCTCCGGGAGACCCCGCGGCTGCTGCAGGAGCTGCTGCCCTCCCCGGCCCCTCCCCACCTCCAAACGCGTCCAGCAGGGGAGAGGGCGGGCGGAGCTGCTGCTCTGCCTCGACTCCCCACGGTGAGCACTGGGGGCACTGGGAGGGACTGGGAGGGACTGGGAGGGGGCTGGGGGGGAACTGGGAGCACTGGAGGGGCACTGGGAGGGGGCTGGGAGCACTGGGGGCACTGGGAGGGGCTGGGGGGAACTGGGAGCACTGGGGGGCACTGGGAGGGGGCTGGGGGAACTGGGAGCACTGGGGGGCACTGGGAGGGGCTGGGAGCACTGGGGGCACTGGGAGGGGGCTGGGGGGAACTGGGGAGGCACTGGGAACACTGGGAGGGGCTTGGGAGGGCACTGGGAGCACTGGGAGGGGGTTGGGGGGGCACTGGGAGCACTGGGAAGGCACTGGGGGCTCACTGGGAGGTTATTGGGAGGTCACTGGTGTCACTGGGAGGTTACTGGGAGGTTACTGGGAGGTCACTGGTGTCACTGGGAGGTCACTGGGAGGTTACTGGGAGGTCACTGGTGTCACTGGGAGGTTACTGGGAGGTTACTGGGAGCACTGGGAAGGCACTGGGAGGTTACTGGGAGGTCACTGGTGTCACTGGGAGGTTACTGGGAGGTTACTGGGAGGTCACTGGTGTCACTGGGAGGTTACTGGGAGGTTACTGGGAGGTCACTGGTGTCACTGGGAGGTTACTGGGAGGTCACTGGGAGGTCACTGGTGTCACTGGGAGGTTACTGGGAGGTCACTGGTGTCACTGGGAGGTCACTGGTGTCACTGGGAGGTTACTGGGAGGTTACTGGGAGGTTACTGGGAGGTTACTGGGAGGTTACTGGGAGGTCACTGGTGTCACTGGGAGGTCACTGGGAGGTTACTGGGAGGTCACTGGTGTCACTGGGAGGTTACTGGGAGGTCACTGGTGTCACTGGTTCCGGGGCCGTGCAGGTGATGGAGCCCCCATCGATTTCATCACCGGCGATGACGTCACCGATGACATCACTGATGACGTCACCGAGGCTGCCAGGACCAGTAACACCAGTGCCTCCAGGAACACCAGTATAACCAGTGGCACCAGTACGACCAGTGGCACCAGTTCCACCACCAACTTCAGTGCTGCCAGTTCCACCAGTGCCACCAGTGCCACCAACGACTCCAGTTCCACCAGCAACTCTCCCAGTACCACCAATGCTCCCAGTTCCACCAATGCCACCAGTACCACCAGTGACTCCAGTGCCTCCAGTGACTCCAGTTCCAGCAGTGACCCTCCCAGTGACTCCAGTTCCACCAGCAACCTTCCCAGTGACTCCAGTTCCACCAGTGGCACCAGTACCACCAGCGACCCTCCCAGTGCTCCCAGCACCACCAGAGACCCTCCCAATGCCCCCAGTGCTCCCAGTTCCACCAGTACCACCGGCTCCATCAGTGGCACCAGCTCCACCAGTGCTCCCAGCTCCACCAGTACCACCGGCTCCACCAGTGCTTCCAGTGCCCTTCCCAGTGCTCCCAGTTCCACCAGTGGCACCAGCTCCACCAGCACCACCAGCTCCACCATTGGCACCAGTTCCATCAGTGCCTCCAGTGCCCTTCCCAGTGCTCCCAGTACCACCAGCTTCACCAACGCTCCCAGTTCCACCAGTGCTCCCAGCACCACCAGCACCACCAGCTCCACCATTGGCACCAGTTCCATCAGTGCCTCCAGTGCCCTTCCCAGTGCTCCCAGTTCCATCAGTACCACCAGCTCCACCAGCGGCACCAGTGGCACCAGCTCCACCAGTGCTCCCAGTTCCACCAGTACCACTGGCTCCACCAGTGCTCCCAGTTGCCCCAGCACTCCCAGTGCTCCCAGTGCTCCCAGTGTGCTGTTGTGGCTGCAGTGCTCTGGGGTGTCCCCCCACGGTCTGGGTCCCCCGTTCCGTGTGGGTGTCCCCGGGCGTGTCCCGGCTCCGGGGGCGGAGTCAGAGCGGGCGCGGGGGGCGGGGCTGTGGCCGTGGGTCGGGCGTGGCCCTCGGCCCTCCCGGGCCCCCGCGCTGGGGGTGGGGAGGGGCGCGTGGCGGGCGTGGCCATGGCCGTGGCGGTGGCGGCGGCGGGAGGGGCGGGGGAGGGGGGAGGGGCGGCCGCCGTGGACCCCGGAGCGGGCGGGTGCTGGGGTGGGGCGGGACCGGCGAGGAGGGGCACCCCTGCGCCACGCGGCCATCGACCTCATCGACCGCGTCGCGCGGTGGCGGCGCCATGGTGACGTCATCGGTGATGTCATCGGGGTGACGTCATCGGTGGGGGTGGGGAGGGTTAATGTTAGTCGTGGTGACGTCATCGGTGACGTCATCGGGGGTGATGGCATCGGTGGGGTGGGGAGGGTCGAGTGTCGGTCGTGGTGACGTCATCGGTGACGTCCATCGGGGATGACGGCATCGGGGTGGGGGAGGGTTAATGTCGGTTGTGGTGACGCCATCGGTGGGTGGGGAGGGTGGTGACGTCATCAGTGGGTGTGGGGGGAGGGTCGGTGTCGGTTGTGGTGACATCACGGCTGGGTGCGATGACGTCATTGTTGGGTGTGGGGATGGTGGTGACGTCATTGGAGGGGGTGGGCGTGGCACCGTTGGGGGTGGGGGGAGGGTCCATGTCGGTTGTAGTGACGTCACGGCTGGATGTGATGACGTCATCAGTGGGTGTGGGGAGGGCGGTGACGTCATCGCTGGGTGTGATGATGTCAACATTGGGTGTGGTGACGTCACCGCTGGCCGGGTGACGTCATCGTGGGTGGCAGTGCCACCGCCCGGCGCGTCCCCAGCGGCGACGTTGACATCCCTAAGGCCAATGTTGACGTCCCCGACGTCCCCAGGGCCAACACCGACATCGCCATGGCTGGTGCTGATGTCCCCATGGACAGCATTGACATCCCCAATGTTGACATCCCCAATGTCCCCATGGCCAGCATTGATGTCCCCAACGTTGATGTCCCCATGGTGAATGTTGACGTCCCCAAGACCAACATTGATGTCCCCAACATCCCCCTGGCCAACATCGCCATCCCCCCCATCGCTGTCCCCCCCTTCCCCCCGGGCTGTGACCTCACCGGTTACGTCATCCCCGGTGCCGGTGACAATGCCAATGGTGACAATGGTGACAATGGTGACAATGTCAATGGTGACAATGGTGACAATGTCAATGGTGACAATGATGACAGTGGTGGCAGTGCTGGGTACCTGCTGTCGGGCTGTGACGTGTACGTGACGCGCGAGCCGTGCGCGCTGTGCGCCATGGCCCTGCTGCACACGCGTGTGCGCCGCGTGTTCTACCGGCGGCCCTGCCCCCAGGGAGCACTGGGCACGCGCTACGGACTCCACGGGCACCCCAAACTCAACCACAGGTACAGGGTGTGGGGTGGGGTCACCCCCTGCACCAGTAACAACCATACTGGGAGCACTGGGAGCACTGGGAGTACATAACTGAGAGCACTGGGAGCACTGGGCACGCGCTACGGGCTCCATGGGCACCCCAAACTCAACCACCGGTACAGGGTGTGTGGGGGGGTCACCCCCTGTGTCCCACAGACCAGTAACACCCATACTGGGAGCACTGGGAGTACATAACGGGAGCACTGGGAGCAGTCACTGGGAGCACTGGGAGCAGTCACTGGGAGCACTGGGCACGCGCTACGGACTGCACGGGCACCCCAAACTCAACCACCGGTACAGGGTGTGTGGGGGGGTCACCCCCTGCACCAGTAACACCCATACTGGGAGCACTGGGAGCACTGGGAGTACATAACTGAGCACTGGGAGCACTGGGAGCAGTCACTGGGAGCACTGGGCACGCGCTATGGACTCCACGGGCACCCCAAACTCAACCACCGGTACAGGGTGTGGGGAGGGGTCACCCCCTGTGTCCCACAGACCAGTAACAACCATACTGGGAGCACTGGGAGCACCGGGAGTACATAACTGAGAGCACTGGGAGCAGTCACTGGGAGCACTGGGAGCAGTCACTGGGAGCACTGGGAGCACTGGGAGCAGTCACTGGGAGCACTGGGCACGCGCTACGGGCTCCACGGGCACCCCAAACTCAACCACCGGTACAGGGTGTGGGGTGGGGTCACCCCCTGTACCAGTAACACCCACACTGGGAGCACTGGGAGTACATAACTGAGAGCAATGGGTGTAGACACTGGGAGCAGTCACTGGGAGCACTGGGCACCCCCTGCGGCCTGCACGGGCACCCCAAACTCAACCACCGGTACCGGGAGTGGGGAGGGGTCACCCCCTGTGTCCCCCCAGTCAATAAAACCCATACTGGGAGCACTGGGAGCACTGGGAGCAGTCACTGGGAGTACTGGGAGCAGTGACTGGGAGCACTGGGCACCCCCTGCGGCCTCCATGGGCACCCCCAACTTAACCATCGCTACAGGGTCTGGGCAGGGGTCACCCCCTGTGTCCCCCCAGTCAATAAAAACCATACTGGGAGCACTGGGAGTCCATGACTGAAAGCACTGGGAGTATTGGGATCAGTGCCTGCGGGCACTGGGAGCACTGGGAGGTGATTGGGAGGATACTGGGAACATTGGGGGGGGTACTGGGAGCACTGGACAGTGACTGGGAAGGCACTGGGAACACTGAAAGGTGACTGGGAGAATACTGGGAACATTGGGGGGGGTACTGGGAGCACTGGACAGTGACTGGGAGGATACTAGGAACATTGGGGGATTACTGGGAGCACTGGACAGTGACTGGGAGGATACTGGGAGCACTGAGAGGTGACTGGGAGGATACTGGGAACAATTGGGGGGGGTACTGGGAGCACTGAGAGGTGACTGGGAGGATACTGGGAACAATTGGGGGGGGTACTGGGAGCACTGGGAGGTGACTGGGAGGATACTGGGAACATTTGGGGGGGTACTGGAAGCACCGGACAGTGACTGGGAAGGCACTGGGAGCACTGAGAGGTGACTGGGAGGATACTGGAAACATTTGGGGGGTACTGGGAGCACTGGGAGGTGACTGGGAGGATATTGGGAACATTGGCGGGATACTGGGAGCCCTGGACAGTGACTGGGAAGGCACTGGGAGCACTGAGAGGTGACTGGGAGGATATTGGGAACATTGGGGGGGTACTGGGAGCCCTGGACAGTGACTGGGAAGGCACTGGGAGGGTCCCAGATCTTACTGGAAACCAATTCGGGCCCCCGAAGGACCCAGTTTGACCAGTTCGAACCAGTATAAGCCACCCACAGGGGGCGGGAAATCTCCCCTCCCAGTTCTCCCAGTGTAACCAGTAACACCTTTATCTCCCACGTGACTTAAAGATCAAGTCACGTGATCTCCCCAAGCCCCTCCCACCCCCAGTGCGGCCACACCCCTTTCCTGCCCCGCGCAGGCGCAGTCAGAGGCTCGGGGATGAAAGGGCGGGGCCTTGTTGCGTGTGCCCCGCCCTCCCCGTGACGTAATCACGACGTCATTCGCACGCGCTCATCACGTGCTGCCCGCAGGGCGGGGCAGGTCAGGATGTACCGCACTGACGATGCCTAACCACGCCCCTTTTTCGGGGTCTGGGGGGGATCGACCCCTTTTGACGTCACAGCGACCCCCCGGGACCCCCTCACGACCACCCCACACGACCCCCGCTCCACCCCCCACCCCCGCGCCCACTCGCGATTCGAAATTCCCGCTCTGAGGGGAGCCCCGCGCGCGAAAATTGGACCTTCCGCGCTCCCAGGATGCTCCGCGAACGTGATTTGCATAAGAGGCGGGGCCACGGCGTTTCCGGCGCTTAAAAAAGGGTTTATTGGGCCCGTTTTGGGGGGATTTTTTGGAGGTTTTGGGGGGGATTTGGGGGGTCCGGGGGCATCAGAGGGTTTGGAGGGGTTTTGGGGGTCCCCTGGAAGGGGCTGAGGGGGGCATCAAAGGGGGTTTGGTGGGGAGGGGGGACACACAAGGGGTTTGGGGACCCCAGGGGGTTTTGGGGATCCCCAGGGAGGGTCAGGGGGTCGAGGAGGGGGTTGAAGGGCTCAGGAGGGGTTGGGGACCCCCAAAGAGGATTTTAGGGTGGGTGGGTGGGGTTTGGAGACCCCTGGGTGAGGGGAGGGGATATTTGGAGACCCCCAAGGGGGGCGAATTGGGGACCCCTGGGTGGGGGGTTTGGGGGCCAATCAGAAGGTTTGAGACCCCTCCCCAAGGGGGCTGTGGGGGGAAGGGGGAGTGAGGGAGGTTTGGGGACCCCTGAGGATGTTTTGGGGGTGGGGAGGGGTCTCTGGTGGGGTGGGGGGGTCACCGCCCCCTCTGTCCCAGCAGGACCCGGCCCAGCAGCAGCAGCTCCGTCACGGCCGTGGGGACACTGGGGGAGGGGAGAGGAATTTGGGGGTCAGGGGTCTCCTCACCCCCAACCCCTGGGACCCTCCCAGCCCCCCCAGGACCCACCTGAGGGCGAGGGTGGCCCAAAGGGCGGCTCCGTCACAGCCCTCGAGCCAACCCAGGGCCAGGCCCAGGGCGGCCCCCCCGTGAGCCCCCAGGGCTGGAGGGTCAGGGAAAACACCCCAAAATGGGACCCCAAAACCCCCCAAATCACAGAGACCCCCCAAATCACAGAGACCCCCCGTGAGCTCCCCAGGGCTGGGGGTCAGGAAAACACCCAAAATGGGACCCCAAAACCCCCAGGACCCCCCAAATCACAGAGACCCCCAAATCACAGAGACCCCCCAAATCACAGAGACCCCCTGTGAGCCCCCAGGGCTGGGGGTCAGGAAGACACCCAAAAATGGGACCCCAAAACCCCCCTAGGACCCCCAAATCACAGAGACCTCCAAATCACAGAGAAACCCCCAGGACCCCCAAAACCCCCAAATCACAGAGACCTCCCAAATCACAGAGACCCCCGTGAGCCCCCAGGGCTGGAGGGTGATGGAAAATACCCCAAAATGGGACCCCAAAACCCCCAGGACCCCCAAAACCTCCCCAAATCACAGAGACCCCCGTGAGCCCCAGGGCTGGGGTCAGGGCACCCAAAAATGGGACCCCAAACCCCCAAATCACAGAGACCCCCAAATCACAGAGACCCCTGGGACCCCAAAACCCCAGGACCCCCAAATCACAGAGACCCCCAAATCACAGAGACCCCCTGTGAGCCCCCAGGGCTGGGGGTCAGGAAAATACCCAAAATGGGACCCCAGAACCCCCGGGACCCCCAAATCACAGAGACCCCCAAATCACAGAGACCCCCTGAGCCCCCAGGGCTGGAGGGTCAGGGAAAACACCCAAAATGGGACCCCAAAACCCCCCAAATCACAGAGACCCCCCAAATCACAGAGACCCCCTGGGACCCCCTAAACCCCCTGGGACCCCAAAACCCCAGGACCCCAAAACCCCAGGACCCCCAAATCACAGAGACCCCCGTGAGCCCCCAGGGCTGGAGGGTGATGGAAAATACCCCAAAATGGGACCCCAAAACCCCCTAAATCACAGAGACCCCCCAAATCACAGAGACCCCCGTGAGCCCCCAGGGCTGGAGGGTCAGGGAAAATACCCAAATGGGACCCCAAAACCCCTGGGACCCCAAACACCCCCAAATCACAGAGACCCCCAAATCACAGAGACCCCCTGAGCCCCCAGGGCTGGTGGAGTCAGGAAAACACCCCAAAATAGGACCCCAAAACCCCCCAAATCACAGAGACCCCCGTGAGCCCCCAGGGCTGGAGGGTCAGGGAAAATACCCCAAAATGGGACCCCAAAACCCCCAAAACCCCCTGGGACCCCCAAATCACAGAGACCCCCGTGAGCCCCCAGGGCTGGAGGGTGATGGAAAACACCCCAAAATGGGACCCCAGAACCCCCAAATCACAGAGACCCCCCAAATCACAGAGACCCCCGTGAGCCCCCAGGGCTGGTGGGTGATGGAAAATACCCAAAAATGGGACCCCAAACCCCAGGACCCCAAACCCCCAAATCACAGAGACCCCCGTGAGCTCCCCAGGGCTGGGGGTGATGGAAAATACCCCAAAATGGGACCCCAAAACCCCCAGGACCCCCAAAACCCCCAAATCACAGAGACCCCGTGAGCCCCCCAGGGCTGCAGGGTCAGAGAACACACCCAAAATGGGACCCCAAAACCCCTGAGACCCCAAAGCCCCCAAATCACAGAGACCCCTCAAATCACAGAGACCCCCATGACCCCCAGGGCTGGAGAGTGATGGAAAATACCCTCAAAATGGGACTCCCAAACCCCTGGGACCCCCAAATCACAGAGACCCCCAGGGACCCCCAAACCTCCTGGGACCCCCAAATCACAGAGACCCCCAGGGACCCCCAAACCCCCGGGACCCCCTAAAACCTCCTCGGGACCCCCCAAATCACAGAGACCCCCGGCATCCCCATATTTTGGGATCCCCATATTTTGGGGTCCCCTCCCCACATTTTGGGATATCCCCCATTTTGGGGTGTCCCCCACATTTTGGGGTCCCCTCACACATTTTGGGGTCCCCCCTCCCACATTTTGGGGTCCCCTCCCATTTTGGGGTCCCCCAGGATACAGCCCAGGCTCTGGCCGGGGTGGAACATCGAGACCCCGAGAAGAACCCCAAAATTCCACCCCCAGCAGGGCCAGGGACCCCCAGGGCCCCCAAAACCTGCGGGGAAAAAAAAAGGGGGTTAAAACAGGGACCCCCAAAATCCCCCAAAAAAAACCCAAACCCACCCAGGACCCCAGATCCTCCCCAGGACCCCCAAAACCCACCCAGAACCCCCAAACCACCCCAGGGACCCCCAAAACCCACTCCAGGACCCCCAAATCCCACCCAGGACCCCGCAAAACCCCACCCAGGACTCCCCAAAACCTGCGGGGAAAAAAAAGGGGATTAAAGGGGACCCCAAAAACCCCCAAAACCCCAACCCCCAGGACCCCCAAATCCCACCCAGGACCCTCCAAATCCCACCCAGAGACCCCCAAATCCCACCCAGGGACCCCCAAAGCCCACCCAGGACTCCCCAAATCCCACCCAGGACCCCCAAATCCCACCCAGGGACCCCCAAATCCCTCCAGGGACTCCCCAAATCCTCCCCAGGACCCCTCAAACCCACCCAGGGAACCCCAAAACCCACCCAGGACCCCCAAATCCCACTCAGGACTCCCTGAATCCCACCCAGGGACCCCCAAACCCACCCAGGGACCCCCAAATTCCCCCCAGGGAGCCCCAAATCCCAACCAGGGATCCCCAAATCCCAACCAGAGACCCCCAAATCCCACCCAGGACCCCCAAACCCCACCCAGGGACCCCCAAATCCCACCCAGGACCCCCAAACCCCACCCAGGACTCCCCAAACCCACCAGGACTCCCCAGATCCCACCCAGGACCCCCAAATCCCACCCAGGACTCCCCAAACCCCACCCAGGACCCCCAAATCCCACCCAGGGACCCCCAAATCCCACCCAGGACCCCCAAATCCTCCCCAGGACCCCCCAAATCCCACCCAAGACCCCCAAATCCCACCCAGGACCCCCCAAATCCCACCCAGGGACCCCCCAAATCCCCCTCAGGACCCCCAAATCCTCCGCAGGGACCCCCAAATCCCACCCAGGACCCCTCAAAACCCACCCAGGACCCCCAAACCCACCCAGGACCCCCAAAGCCTCCCAGTACCCCCAAAATCTGCAGGAATGGGGGGTGACTGGGAAGACACTGGGGGGAACTGGGAGCACTGGGAGGGCACTGGGGGGTACTAGGGGGGCAATGGGGGAAACTGAGAGGGACTGGGAGGGGACTGGGAGAGACTGAGGGGTACTGGGAGCACTGGGAGGGACTGGGAGGGCACTGGGCCATACTGGTTCCATACTGGGAGCACTGGGGGGGCACTGGGAGGGCACTGGGAGGGCACTGGGCCGTACTGCTCTCATACTGGGAGCACTGGGAGGGCACTGGGCTGTACTGGTCCCATACTGGGAGCACTGGGGGGCACTGGGAGGGCACTGGGCCATACTGGTCCCATACTGGGAGCACTGGTCTCACTCACCCGGGCTCTGGTGCCTCCGAGGGGCCCTCGGGGGGGCTCTGGGGGGGGAGGGGGGTGTGAGATCAGGCCCCTCCCCCACTCCCAGTGCCCCTCCCCTTCAGCCCCTCCCCCTTCAGCCCCTCCCCCACCTCCCTCTGCCCCTCCCCTTCTTGTTCCCCGCCCCTCCCCCCACCCCTCCCACTCCCTCTTGCCCCTCCCCCCTTAACCCCACCCCTCTCCTGCCCCTTCCCCTTAACCCCACCCCTCCCCACCGCTCCCCTTTGTCCCAGCCCCTCCCCCTCCCGCTGGCCCCTCCTCCCCCTCGGCCCCTCCCCCACTCACCCCCGCAGCAGCAGCACCAGGTGGGCCGTGAGGGCCAAAAAGCGCCCGGGCAGGACCTGGGGGGCATCTGGGAGAGGGAAGGAGAGGAGGGCGAGAGATGGCACCGCCCCTCCCCACCCCGACACAGCCCCGCCCCTCCCCCGCTCCATCGGCTCCCCCCTCTTCACCCACGGCCCCTCCCCACCCGGGGCACGCCCCTCCCTCAGGTCGGTTTGTGCTGTCCATACCGCTCCCTGCAGGTCTGTACTGGTCTATACTGGTCTATACTGGTCCATACTGGTCCGCACAACCCCCCCCGCCTTCTGATTGGTCGCCGCCCCTCCCTGCCCCGCCCCTGTTGCCGGGCAGACTTTCAGCTCCCAAAATGGCCGCCCCCACGTGACCCCGCTCCTCCCACTCTGATTGGTCGCTCACCTTCCCTCCCCCTCCCCAGCCGCCCAAATCAGCGCCTTCGCGTGGGCGTGGCCGCGGAGGAGGGCGCGAAGGAAAAGAGGGGCGGGGCTTCGTGAGGCGGCGGCCAATGGGAGCGCGGCGCGCGCGGGGAGGGGCGGGGCTTCGTGAGGCGGCGGCCAATGGGAAGGCGGATCCGGGCAGAGGGGGCGGTGGCTCTCGAGGGCGGACCAATCAGCGCGCGGGGCGCGCGGGCGGCGGCCAATGGGAGCGCGGGGAGGGGCCAGATTTGAACCGGCGGCGGCGGCGAAAGCGAAGAGTGAGGCGGGTGGGGGAGTTTGGGGGATCCTGAGGGATTTGGGGGTCCTGAGGGGATTTAAGGGGTCCTGAGGGGAATTTGGGGGTTCTGGGGAAATTTGGGGGTCCACGGGGGATTGGGATATTTGGGGGATTTTGGGGGTCCTGAGGGGATTTGGGGGAGTCCTGAGGGGATTTGGGGGTCCTGAGGGAGATTGGGGGTGTTGGGGGACCTGAG